GCCATGTATCTGCTTATTGTTCCGATTTAAGGATTCCCCCACCAAGTGCTGGTGTTTGCCTCCTGATTAAGCATAATTTATGTTGGCCAAGTGGCGACCATTAGCGCTGCGTCGCCATCGTAGTCGCCATGCCATCGTCGTCGTCTCCATCGCAGTCGCTATGTCCATGATAAATGCGCCGCATTAGCGTCCAATGCCAGTCGGTAATAAATCCACACCCAAACTCCCCTCCCGACCTTTCCTCCTGATAACTCCCACGTATTTCCCCGATGTTTGGTTAATTTCGCTGCGGGAATTTTAAATCATCTTTAAATTAGGGTCATGCAAACTCAATAAACCAAAGGAGAATATGGGAGAGAGAAGGTTCGCTACTTCTGCACTAATTGAGTTGCAGATACATTCGCACATTTGCCACAATTTGGCAAACAAATCACGTAGCAACTGACGCTGCTCATTCCACCGTACACTACCCAACACCCAACAACCACCGCCCAGCATCCCAAAAACCAAAAACCACCCAAGGCCATTACACATCGTATTGCATTCCCTGATTTCACTGGAGGGTTACCTCTGCTTTTTCTCACTTTTTCTCGCTTTACCCGAGGTCTTTGAAAAACAGAACACATGTTCATCGTGCACAGTGCACAGTGCACAGCGAAAGTGGGTCGGTATTTCAGTATTTCAGTATTGCTGAACACACACAAAGACCAGTGTTCAATTGATTCGCTGAGAATTCCTTGGAGCCATCGGACAAGGCATTAGTTTTAATCGTAGAACATTTTTATCGAAGGACATCTAGTCCTAATAGTAACTAAACATTTTTGCATATATACTTCTCTGATATTGTACTATCTATAGACCAAGGCTAGTCTTATTCTTTCAAGGCATTGGTTTAAATATACCTCCTGGTTCTCTGGCCGATTTCCATTCCGATTCAAATGCTCACCGTGTGCGGGCCAAAATTTACATTTATTTAATTTGGCCTGGCCCTGCTCGAGAAATGCAAATGCCGCCGTTGCAAGGCAAAATGTTTAAATGCATGCGATCTATCGCTCTCGCTCTATGGCCCTAGTCCTGTCTCTTTCGCTTGGACTATGGCCGTCTCTGTCTGCGTTAATGCATATGCATGAGACTTAAGCGTGGCAACGCCTTGAAGTTGGCAGTTTCACTACGAAATTATCGACACTTAAAATGTTGCAAGCGTCGTTTGTTGTGCCACCTCGGTGTCCTGTTTGAAGCCCCTTTTAAGCCCCCCCTTAATTCCACCTCAGCCCCTGTTTACCTACTCGTTTTGGGGGTACTTCCGCTGGGTTCTCTTCATCTTCATCTTCGTCTTCATCGCTGCCGAGCGTCGTTGTCCTGCCAAAGGATTCCCGTCGACGTTTATGTAATCTTAATGTTTATGCAGCTTATGCTTCATAAATTCGCCGCCACCCCCAATTACCCCCACCCCCTTTGGAGTTCCCCCCACCCCTCCCAAGGCGCCTCTGAAAATGCGCTGCTTTTGGCGCCGCGACGTCGTCTTCCGGTGGCATTTTGCGCCATCACTGCTGGAGCTTCACTTTTTATATACTCTTGCTGTTGGGTGCTTTGCCCTGAATTTTGCCAACGCATCGGGCTACACTTTTTGAGATCCAACGGAAGCCCTGAAATTATAATGGTTAAGATGTGAAAACGTAATGTTCATCACCTAAAATTGTTACTTTTGTTCGGTGAAAGCCCAAAACCGTTTGGTTTGGTTATTGCAAGAATAAAACTAATATTTGGTAAATAAGTCAAAAATAAAAACTAAACTCATTTAATGTAATTCAAACATTTCAACTAACGTTGGCTTTTTAGACATACATATGAAAAGAAAGAAAATTAAAGTCACAAATAAAATCATTTAATTAAAATAGGCAATAACAATTTGATATTCAATACAACATTTTCTTTTTGACATGACAACTAACTTAATCATAATAAACATATTAAATAGAAAACCATATCATTAGGTTTTATGCAGGGTAATTGCCTTTTCGTTACCCTCTTACGTTGGCAATTCAATTCGTGTGTTTTTGCCAGCGCTTTTTGCTTGTTTTTGTTTCCTTTTTGCACATCCGTTGCCGTTTGTGCCATTTGTTTATTGCCAGTTTCATTGCTTCATTGCGAACGTTGGCGGGCTCCACTACGCTTATCTGCCCCAACCCCCCTGAAAATGTGTTGCCCCAAAAGTCCTGCTCGTTGGGCTCCTTGCAGCTTCATCTTCATCCGACGCTCGTTCCTGCTTTATTTTGGCTGATGGAAATATTTTTACGACAAGTTTTTCGCGAAGATTTGCAACATTTGCAGAAATGGCCATGGAAAAGGCAGCCATCCAACGGAAGTGGAAGTGGAAGTGGAAGTGGATGTGGCACTGCGAAGTTGGGCGAATCAGCGCAAAAACCGAGGGAACGGTCCGAACGTAACGCACATTCTGGCCATAAAACGCTTAACGCTGATGTGTTCGCCTTGATCAACCTCTGACCCTCTTCGGAAAACCCCCAACCCCCCCCTCCTTTGGATGTTGTCAAGTTTTATGTTTGCATCGGTGGACAGAAATGAGCAAAATGACATTCGAGGATTCGAGGATTCAGGATTCGGCACTCTGCGCACTTTTGTCGTTCATGAATTTTGCATGCGGCAGCAGAATGCAAAATTATAATTAGGCAGCCGCGCGATGCGAGCGAAACAAGAGATATGGCAGCCCCACTTTCTCCACTTTCTCCGCTTTCTCCCCCACTTTAAGAGCGATTCGTTGGCCGCTTACACAGTCAACGCACGTTCGAGCATAAAGTACATTTTATTAGCTTGCCTTTTTGCATCGGCCACGGTGGTTCGGTGATGCTTCAGTGATGCTGCACCACTTCCAACTGGCCCAGTTTAGCATAGCTGCTGGTTGGCACGTAATTGGTGTGACCAGGACACAGGAAGTTGGACGGGATCAATTCCATTTGAGTTCTTTAAGTGTCATCACAAATTTAGCTAGTTGGTTAAACATATTTGAATTAAGATATCACAGATAATTTTTAGTTATGTTAACTGTAAAAATCCATTCCATTAAGCAATCATATCATAATTTAATGCCTTATGATACAAATTTTTCAAGGTATAAAAATACATATTTTTAAAATAATTATTGGCTAAACAAATTACTTAAGAATTTTAGCCGGCTAATTTTCAATTAAAAATGGCACTGCAGAAGTGTAATAACTAAATAAGAACTTATATACATAATATATATATTGAAAGAAATATATCATACCTAAATAAAAATTTTCAAAGTGCAACCAAACACATACAATCTCATTTAAATTTCGTTAACCTATAAAAACACCAAAAAATCTTTAATTAGGAGTGCATTAGCGTAAAAACTAAATGAGAACATAGGTAGCAATAAATGTATTATACTATATAATAATTTCAAATTATTATTATTATTAGTCAAATTAAAGTTCGTTGACCTTTAAATAAAACACAAAAATAAATCGGTCACACTTTACCTAATTACTAAAATAAGCTGCGCCTTTTCATTAAATATGATTTGATTCGTTCGTTTTTTTTCTCTTTTTTTCCGCTGACAACGCTGCGTATGCGTAATAATTTTTTAGTTGCGCCACACCCGACACGAAAGCCCGGGGCAATGCAAATAAATATTCAATTGCAAATGGCTGACAGGAAGGACAACCCACACCCGTTTTTGCTTATGGGTGTATTTGGAGAAAGGGGGAGAAAGTGGAGGAGAAAGTAGAGGAGGCTACACGCGAAGCGGACGCGCTCAAATTGCAAATTGCGCTCGTTTACAAGCGAAATAAATGCGCCAGCGCCTGCCATTTGGCAAAAGTCAGCCATACTATACTCCACACACTCACACACACACACATTCACACATTCACACAAACACACAGAGATCCTGACCCACCGCAGTTTCCTTCTGCTTTGCCCTTTTCCCTTCGCCACGGATTTTCCCTTTCCAGCTGGCATTAGAAAAATGAAGCGTCGTGCCGCAAAAGACAAGTTGGTCGTTGGTTGGCATTTTTGTGTTGCGTGCTTTTGGGCGCGTAATTAGATAAGGTCCTGTTTAGCTGTGTTCCATCCTCCTTTTGCCTTTTTCCTTTTTCCTACTGGCGGTGTGTCACCAACAAGCCGCTGACAGATGGAGCGTCATAAAAGCGGCGGCAACAATGCGCCGCAGAATGTCTGAGGTTCGGTTCGGTGAAAGGCGGACTGGCGACCAGGTGGCGACGGGAATTTGTCACGCGGCCGGCTGGAAGCGCACCTGGGCACAAAACGGGGGCGGACAAGGACACAACATGCAATTATACGCAATCAACATAAATCATTCAAATTGCCCAGCGAGAGGTGGGCCAAAAGAAGACGGGAGACGGCCAAAACCCGAGGCACACTACCGAAGAGGGGGCGTTGACGTTGGCTTTCGGCTAATTTGCAATTGAAATGCCCAAATTCTGTGGGCTGGCCGCATTACGCATACGCCGTGTGGCTGCCTATGGCTGCGTGGCAAAGTCTCCTTAAACATCCGCTCAGCCCATCCATCTTCTTCCTCCCCTCGGCTGACAAATGCCACAGGGGCACGTGAGTTGGTCAGTGGCCAAGGTAAATGAATCCTGCGATTGCCGGAAACTTGGAGGATTTTATTTTTTTTTTTTTTTTGTATTATGAATACTGCCTTAGTTCCTTGCAGATTTTTGCTATTTAAATAACTGATCCAACTTTTAAGCTGAGAAAGTTGATGTTGCATTAAAATAACTTGTATTCTAAACTTGCGAGCTAGGTAACAAAACCTTAGCAAAGAAACTAAGTAAAATGTCAGAAAAATAGTGAAAATTTAATCATACTAAGATATAGGAAATAATCAAACAAATGGAGCCTAGATTTGTTTTGTTTTTCAATTGTTTTAAACTCCCTACACTTCATTTCCCCATATCCAAATAGATTAAATCAGTAAAATAATAAGCCAAAGATTATAGTTTTGACAATCATTATTTGAGATTTTTATGAAATATTTTGAGCGTTTGATACATTACTTAAAGGCGAAATTTATGAATTATTCTAGAGCCATGCCAAAAAGTATAAGTCCTCCACTCCAGGAAGTTCAATCAGTGTTTATCGAACCGAAAGTTAATACATCTTTCGGAAAGGTCTCCTTGGTTGGTACTTCTATACTTTCTGTAACAATTGCTGCATTTGGGGAAAATTGCATAGCGCAAGAGAACTTGAAATTTGGTTTTGTTCTTGCTGAAGATCAGGCTGCAGGAGTAATTACATTTCTATGACATAACCGGTTGATTTCGTCAACAGTGCCAAAAGTTCAAATGACATTTGCCATTCGCCAGCGATTCTGCTGGAGAATCTAGTCCATTTTCCAGGTGTGAGGTCCCTTGAAATTCAGTCATTTTCCATTTGCCAGCGATTCTTCTCGAAAATCTAGCCCAGTTTCCAGGTGTGAGGTCCCTTGTAATCCTCTCGACAATCCTCAAGATTGCAGGAAGACCACGTCCATCGGCACGCCATACAACTCGGCGATCTGCAGTTTCATGTAGGCCACCACGCCGGTGGGGCAGTAGGCCATCGCCTCGTCAAAAGTGATCCACTTGGCGTTCGAGTCGCCGGCGCACACCACATGCAGATAGATGATCCCGTCGAATTCCGCGTGACTGATGATGCCCATCACGTTGCTGGTGGTGCCGCCGCCGTTTCCACTTCCAATTCCACTTCCGTTTCCACTCCCATTTCCGTTTCCGCTACCGTTTCCGCCCCCGTTTCCGTTCACGTCGATAATGTTGCCGCTGGTGGCCGGATTCAGATTGATGACCATCCTTTACCTGCCGCAGACGTAAACAAAACTAATAAAATATATTAAATTTAAATTTAAGTGCAATGTTAAGTATGTTTCGTATTAAATCTAAAATTTATGGCCATTATAGCGGCTGATTGAATTTATTAAAACTATAATTATTACAATAAAGGCACCAAAACAAATGTGGTTTAAATAATAAAAACGATTTTGACTATTTTGTAAGACAGGAAAAAATATTTTCTTTAATATAATTTGTTTTACAATCTATTTTAGGGGAATTCAAGCGAAAAGCAAATATTTAAATGTTTAAAATAAAATAAGTCATTACAACGGCATTTTTAAAGAAAAACTTTTAAGCAGCGTTTTTGAAACGCATTGATTTAAAATTTTTTAAAAATATATATTATCACATATATATTAAAATCTCGCCTTTAGACGATAAATCGCACAGTTTCCGATACATATAAAACTATAATGTATAAATTCAAACATGACCATAATCTTCAATAGAAAAAAAAAAATTAGTGCTTAGGAACACAATTCTCAATATCTTTGGCGGTGTCCATAATCACTTACCTGTGTACAAAACTATCAAAAGTGGAAAGGAAATGGGGCTGGAAGCAGCTGTCGACGTGGCCTGGAACTGGGACTCTCTCTTTGGGGCTGCACTTGGCTAAACGGCCTTCTTGCCCGGTTGGCCTTCAATTTCGAAGGTGTCAGTCCTCTGCGATCCTCTGCGATCCTCTGCGAGCCTTGAACTTTGAACCAACGAATTTTGCGCTCTGTCTGTGCAATCGAAAGGGGTCTGAGTCTGGTGCAGTGGTGTGCTGATAAAAGGATCGGTTCAGCCGATCTAAGGATCTGATGCACGATGCGCGGCAGATAACTCTTTGATTAGCGTGATACTAGTACTAGATATGATTTTTCATCCGTTTGATTATTTTTTTTTTTCTGTTTTGCTCTATGTATATTTTTTTTGTTCAAACGGTGTGTGTGTGTATGAATGTGTCGATTGTGTGTGCTGACTACCTAGACGATTTCACTAATAATATCGCATATTCCCTGTCAGCTACCTGACATTCTATCCAAAGCCAACTAACCAATGTTAAATTATAATGGACCAAAAAAAAATTTTTTCTAACGACTAGTTATTTTATATTTGTGTTAATTTAATAAATTTTAGTTCGTTTAATTAAAAATATACAACTTACAAAAATACATTATTCGGTTTATTATGGCAAGACATGTATGTAACAATATGATCAAACAAAACTCATTATTTTAAAGTGTGAGTTTGCAAAAGACAATCATCACAAAGTAGACAAAGTTACATTTTAATAAAACTTTATAAACATTTTTTAGCCTCTGGCCAACTTCATTACTTATGAATATTACTGAGAAAAGTGTAATAACGTTGACTTTAATATTACATGTAATAAAAAACAATGCAGAGGCAATTTTTTCAGGGCTTTGACATCCCTGGCAACTCTGGTGCTTATGAATGTGGCATATTATGTTGTGCGTTTGCCAGCAGCAAATGAACCGAGCAAATAAAACTTTCACAGCAAAGTTATTAACATGGCAGCATCCACTGCCATCCGCCATCCGCCATCTGACATCCGATTTCCACCTGCAATTCCTCACCCTCTTGTCTGCGCTTAGCTCTTTATTTACGGCGGAAAGTGCAGCCCGGGAAATGCGGGAGAAATGAGGGGTAAATGCGGACAAAGCGCCAGAGCTAAGCTTAAGTCGAGCCAACAGGAGCCCCAAAGCAATTAAATCGCATTCGCTGTGTGGAAAGCAAATAGGATTCTGGTGCGCGAGGTTTTTGAACCAAGAAGCCCGGACAGAGACAAACAATCAAACGGAAATTAATTGCGGGATGTGTGAAAAGTGAAAGCCAAAAGCTGTTCGGTAAATGATTGTCAAGCAGCAGCGAGTTTTCCCCCCTTAACCCACTCCCCATTTCGCGCTTAACCCCTGATTGATAGCTGGCCCCAGGCGAGAGCATTGACTCCTGCTCTCCAGGATCGAAGGAAAAAAGAAAAGTCAGCAGAAAAAATGTATTTTGATGTTTGCCCAGACCCCACATGTCTTTCCTGGTGACTTTACAATTCTTTAAAAGCGAAGAATTGGATAGAATATCTCCAAGGGCTTACACAAAATTATTTGCCTAAGTAAATGATAACCAAATATTACCTAAATATGTCTTCAGCGAATTTAGATCGCTATTTAAGGCAAGGGTTAGTATTTAAGCAACCAAATTTCTTTTAATAAAAAAAACGTTGGCTTTTTTTATGATTTATTGCAAAAAATTGGTAAAGATAAACATTTTCAGCAGTGAATGTCTTTCGATCGGAAATTTTACAAGGTATTATACGACATTTCAACTACTAACAGTCGATTTTAAAAAATTATATTTTTAACCAAATTTTGTCATTTTTTAAAAGGTGTCATGATTTTTTCCGAAAATTTTAACAGTTTTTACATTTTAATCAGTAAATTTTAACGATGTATTATGTATTTTTTGTGATTTGTTGTAACTTGGTCAAAACGGTAATTTTATCCTCAGTCAATTTTGAAATATTAATTTTATCGTATTTTTGATAATGATGATATTTTTGCAAAAATTAAAAACAAAAATTAATACTTTCAGCTGTGAAGACCAATCGAATTAAAATTTCTTGACCAATTTAGCAAAATATAATTATTTTTTCCCATTCTTTTAAATAAAAACCGAAGCTGCATTTTTGTCCGTGTCCTTTGGCATTCTGCATGTTCATTGAACCCATGTTAAACACAAAAATGTTCCACTCTTATGTCATGGCGTTTCCAAAACCCACAGAGCCATCGGTCGATGCTTAATTAATACACCGTTACGTGCAGTTTTGGGCCAACAATGGGCCACCTACCTCAGCCTTCGTTTTGGGTCCCGTTGCCTCCATTCGTCCATAGCCATAGCCATAACCGTGTCCATATCCGGATCCGGATCCGGTTCATAATGAGCCGCCTCATTGGACCGGCAAGTGAGTTATATTTTCATGGAAGATTTGACAGTTGCACATGCCGCCCAAGTGAAGAAGAAGAGAAAAGGAAGGAAAGTGGGAGTGTCTCCATTGACTCGGTTACACGCCTCGGTTGTTTCCAGCATCAGTTGCAACGCTCTGCTCTGCTCTGCTCTGCTCAGCTCTCCAGCCAAGCGTTTCATATTGCCACCCACACCTGCCATTTGCCACCAGCAACCTGCCACCTGCCACCTGTCACCACCACCTGCCACCATCCATAAACCACCCAACTGCAGTCGCACTCACTTCATAATGCTGTCAAGGTTGAGCGATGCTGAAATATTGAAGCCTGCCCTTTAAATATTCACGAGTTTCGTGGCTTGGTGGTTTAACTTGGTGTTGCCTTTTGCCCGAAGCAGAAACAGTTGATGCAGCAGTGAAATCTGTCAGAATGCGGAATATTTACTTGTCTACTTACTGGAACTCATCCTTAACTTTACGACTTCCAAAGCGCATTTACATTGGTTTTCTAACACTGACAGAGCTGTGAAAACACTAGGCTATTGAAAACTTCTGGTGGATTTACTTCTATAGGTCATAAGAGTAGTGAAAAATATTATTAATCCTTTTACCTAGCCTTTATATTGCAATGGTTTTGAAAAATACGTTTAATATGTGTGCCTTGAAGATTATTGTAAATTAGTGTTGAGTTGTTGTAGTACTGGTAAAGGAGCTTCAAAAAAATGTTGACTATAGCGGTTGTATATATAGCTGAATATGTTGTACCAAGTTATTTAATAAAGCTGTAGAAAAACAATGATTCAGAACTGAAAAACTTGAACAAAATGTCCACGAAGACGTACAATCTGCGGACATGACCGTGCGATTGACTTGTGAATGCAGCTCGCTGGGAGAGTTCAACTCACACAGACACAAGTTCAACGACTGACACAAATATGTTCTGGCCGTTTACCTTTTGTTCTGGCCCGGCTTGCTGTTGGCCAACTTGCTGGAAACCAGCATCGAAGATCCAACAACAATTCGAATCCCGGCCCAGGGTTGCCAACATAAACAATTTATGCACCACAAACCGGACTCTTTTGAATGGCAAATGCGAAAGGGAAAGAAATGGAGGGAGGGAGGGGGGGAGGTATAAAAAAGGACGGGGAAAGTCCTGGCTTGCAGCCAGATAACTTTTAACTTGGCTTGTTAGTTAAGCGTAAACATGGGGCAGAAAAGTGGGTGGGAGGGAGATGGGGTGGATTTAGATGGTAAGTGCGGGTCATTTGAATGCATGTTTGGATGGACAGACCTCAGCGCCATCGATGATAAGCGAGAAGTCAACAGCGGTGAAAGGGGTCGAGTGGAGTGGAGCGGAGAAAGTAGTGGGTGGTTCTGGTCAGTTGGGGTTTTAATGGCTATGGCTTTGGCCATGTGTTTGCGAGTTTGCGGCTGCTGAGGCGCAGAGTCAACGCCAATGGTAAATATTTAGCTCTCGGCTGCACTTGAGATTAACTCGCACACGGATGCAGCCATCCATTGGGGTGTGTGTATGTGTGTGTGTGTGTGTGTGTGTTGAAAACAGACAAAAGCAGAGTGAAGCGAAAATACAAACACACTCAAAAGTGAAAATGGAAAAAGTTTCAATGGTTTTATCATGTTTACTTTTATTTGTGTCACTGAGTGGTTGTATAAGCCTCAGCTTCAGCAGCCCCTGGAGGTCAGGGGTCAGGGGTCAGAGGCGGAAGTGGAGGTGGAGGTGGAAGCGGAGGATAAACAAACACAGACGGAGGAAAGGGATGGTGGTGCACACATAAGAAGCGTATGTTCAGCACACTCAAGGGAGATCACTGGCTGCCGTGAAGTGCCCGACAAGTGACAGCACTGGATTTCGATAAGGAGCCGGGGACAATGGCAGTGTCCTTGGTCCTTGCTCCATGCTCTATACTCCATGCTCCATGCTCCATGCTCCATGCTCCATGCTCCTCCAACTGAGCCCTGCTCAGCTAGAAGCTACAGAAACAGCTCCGGGCATCGAACTGCAAAATACCCCGAATCCCACTCGAGTTTCGCCTTCAATGCGGCCCTGACCTCCCACCATCCCATCATTCCACCATCCCGGCATCGAGGCATCCTTGGCTCAAGGATGACTCCTGAAGCTCACCTAATCAGGTACTAAGCTGCAGCCAGCTGCCTCGCCAGATGTTGCAGCTCCGGCAATTCGTTAACCGTTTTAACAGCTTTTAGGCCGCCCTGGCCATAAAAAACTGGACGCTTTTGCGGCTTTTCAATTCCAATGTTGAGTGCCGATTGGGTTGCTTTTAAAACAGAATGCTCTTCAATACATTTTACAGCAAGCCTTTAAAAACAAAAATGTAAAGGAATGGTAAAGTTAAAGTTAAGGCTTACATAATTTATTTTAAAACAATTTCAAAAATATTATATAAAAATTACAGTGCTTAGGGGCACAGATCGCTAGAACAAATGTTTTCCTAACATACAGCATTTAATTATGTTTTTAAGCATTTTAAGCTTTTATATGTTATATTTAATATGTGTACCTTATAAACAACGCAACATGATTTCGCGATTAAAAATCCTTACCTGTTATCAAGCATTCAAAAACTAGTTACATGAGTAACCATTTCAAAATTTGTTTGCTATAAACTTTTACTAGATTTCAAAATGTATAATTTAAACTGACGATTGGGTTATACAGTTTAATAAGTATGCTTTTAAGGTAACTAAATTAAGCGCCACTCTATTAAATGAAACATCCCTTTCGGGCAATTGGCATTACCATTAAGTATTTATGGCGCAACTTAATTAAGCGTTAATCGGCTTTTGACCATGCAGCTTACGTAAAGAGCAAATTGGAATCGCTGTACTTTGTACTATACATAAATACAATGCCAAAAACTTTAGTTGACAGCTTAAAGGTTTCTTGCTGCTGCTGCAGCTTAAAAATGTCCAGAACTTTCTCGAACACTTTCATATCAGGGGAGGTGAAAGGGCTAATTAAGCCTTGCAT